AGACAGGTAATCTGTAGGTAGGTTTGTTGGTAGTTATAGACAGGTGGTCTTTTGGTAAGTTTGTTGGTAGATATAGACAGGTGGTCTTTAGGTAATTTTGTTGGTAGTTATAGACAGGTGGTCTTTAGGTAAGTTTGTTGGTAGCTATAGAAAGGTGGTCTTTAGGTAGGTTTGTTGGTAGTTATAGACATGTGGTCTTTAGGTAAGTTTGTTGGTAGTTATAGACAGGGGGTCTTTAGATAAGTTTGTTGGTAGTTATAGACAGGAGGTCTTTAGGGAAGTTTGTTGGTAGTTATAGACAGGTGATCTTTAGGTAAGTTTGTTGGGAGTTATAGACAGGTGATCTTTAGGTAAGTTTGTTGGTAGTTATAGACAGGTAGTCTTTAGGTTAGTTTGTTGTTAGTTATAGACAGGTGATCTTTAGGTAAGTTTGTTGTTAGTTATAGACAGGTGATCTTTGGGTAGGTTTGTTGGTAGTTATAGACTGGTGGTCTTTAGGTAAGTTTGTTGGTAGTTATAGACAGGTGATCTTTAGTTAGGTTTGTTGTTAGTTATAGACAGGTGATCTTTAAGTAAGTTTGTTGGTAGTTATAGACTGGTGGTCTTTAGGTAAGTTTGTTGGTAGTTATAGACTGGTGGTCTTTAGGGAAGTTTGTTGGTAGTTATAGACAGGAGGGTTTTGGGGATGTTTGTTGGTAGTTACAGACAGGTGATCTTTAGGTAGGTTTGGGGGGAGTTATAGACAGGTGATCTGTAGGTAAGTTTGGTGGTAGTTATAGACAGGTGATCTTTAGGTAAGTTTGTAGGTAGTTATAGACAGGTGATCTTTAGCTAAGTTTGTTGGTAGTTATAGACAGGTGATCTTTAAGTATGTTTGTTTGTAGTTATAGACTGGTGGTCTTTAGGTAGGTTTGTTGGTAGTTATAGACAGGTGATCTTTAGGTAATTTTGTTGGTAGTTATAGACAGGTGATCCCAAGGTAAGTTTGTTGGTAGTTATAGACAGGTGATCTTTAAGTATGTTTGTTGGTAGTTATAGACTTGTGGTCTTTAGGTAAGTTTGATGGTAGTTATAGACAGGTGATCTGTAGGTAAGTTTGTTGGTAGTTATAGACAGGTGATCTTTAAGTATGTTTGTTGGTAGTTATAGACTTGTGGTCTTTAGGTAAGTTTGATGGTAGTTATAGACAGGTGATCTGTAGGTAAGTTTGTTGGTAGTTATAGACAGGTGATCTTTAAGTATGTTTGTTGGTAGTTATAGACTTGTGGTCTTTAGGTAAGTTTGATGGTAGTTATAGACAGGTGATCTTTAGGTAAGTTTGTTGGTAGTTATAGACAGGTGATCTTTAAGTATGTTTGTTGGTAGTTATAGACTGGTGGTCTTTAGGTAAGTTTGATGGTAGTTATAGACAGGTGATCTTTAGGTAAGTTTGTTGGTAGTTATAGACAGGTGATCTTTAAGTATGTTTGTTGGTAGTTACAGACAGGTGATCTTTAGGTAGGTTTGGTGGTAGTTATAGACAGGTGATCTTGAGGTAGGATTGTTGGTAGTTATAGACAGGTGGTCTTTAGGTAAGTTTGTTGGTAGTTATAGACAGGTGATTTTTAGGTAAGTTTGTTGGTAGTTATAGACAGGTAATCTGTAGGTAGGTTTGTTGGTAATTATAGACAGGTGGTCTTTAGGTAAGTTTGTTTGTAGTTATAGACAGGTGGTCTCTAGGTAAGTTTGTTGGTAGTTATAGACAGGTGGTCTTTTGGTAAGTTTGTTGGTAGTAATAGACAGGTGGTCTTAAGGTAAGTTTGTTGGTAGTTATAGACAGGTGGTCTTTAGGTAAGTTTGTTGGTAGTTATAGACAGGTGGTCTTTAGGTTAGTTTGTTGTTAGTTATAGACAGGTGATCTTTAGGTAAGTTTGTTGGTAGTTATAGACAGGGGATCTTTAGGTAGGTTTGTTGGTAGTTATAGACATGTGGTCTTTAGGTTAGTTTGTTGGAAGTTATAGACTGGTGGTCTTTAGGTAAGTTTGTTGGTAGTTATAGACAGGTGGTCTTTAGGTAAGTTTGTTGGTAGTTATAGACAGGTGATATTTAGGTAAGTTTGATGGTAGTTATAGACTGGTGGTCTTTAGGTATGTTTGTTGGTAGTTATAGACAGGTGGTCTTTAGGTATGTTTGTTGGTAGTTATAGACTGGTGGTCTTTAGGTATGTTTGTTGGTAGTTATAGACAGGTGGTCTTTAGGTAAGTTTGATGGTAGTTATAGACAGGTGATCTTTAGGTAATTTTGTTGGTAGTTATAGACAGGTGATCTTTAAGTATGTTTGTTAGTAGTTACAGACAGGTGATCTTTAGGTAGGTTTGGTGGTAGTTATAGACAGGTGATCTGTAGGTAAGTTTGGTGGTAGTTATAGACAGGTGATCTTTAGATAAGTTTGGTGGTAGTTATAGACAGGTGATCTTTAGGTAAGTTTGTTGGTAGTTATAGACAGGTGATCTGTAGGTAAGTTTGTTGGTAGTAATAGACAGGTGGTCTTTAGGTTAGTTTGTTGTTAGTTATAGACATNGATCTTTAGGTAGGTTGGTTGGTAGTTATAGACAGGTGATCTGTAGGTAGGTTTGGTGGTAGTTATAGACAGGTGATTTTAAGTTAAGTTTGTTGGTAGTTATAGACAGGTGGTCTTTAGGTAAGTTTGTTGGTAGTCATAGACAGGTGGTTTTTAGGTAAGTTTGTTGGTAGTTATAGACAGGTGATCTTTAGGTAAGTTTGTTGGTAGTCATAGACAGGTGGTTTTTAGGTAAGTTTGTTGGTAATTATAGACAGGTGATCTTTAAGTATGTTTGTTAGTAGTTACAGACAGGTGATCTTTAGGTTAGTATGTTGGTAGTTATAGACAGGATAGACAGGTGGTCTTTAGGTAAGTTTTATGGTAGTTATAGACAGGTGGGCTTTAGGTAAGTTTGTTGGTAATTATAGACAGGTGATCTTTAGGTAGGTTTGTTGGTAGTTATAGACAGGTTGTCTTTAGGTAGTTTTTGTGGTAGTTATAGACAGGTGATCTGTAGGTAAGTTTGGTGGTTGTTATAGACAGGTGGTATTTAGATAGGTTTGGTGGTACTTATAGATAGGTGATCTTTAGGTAGGTTGGTTGGTAGTTATAGACAGGTGATCTGTAGGTAGGTTTGGTGGTAGTTATAGACAGGTGATTTTAAGTTAAGTTTGTTGGTAGTTATAGACAGGTGGTCTTTAGGTAAGTTTGTTGGTAGTTATAGACAGGTGATCTTTAGGTAGGTTTGGCGGTAGTTATAGACAGGTGATCTGTAGGTAAGTTTGGTGGTTGTTATAGACAGGTGGTATTTAGATAGGTTTGGTGGTACTTATAGATAGGTGATCTTTAGGTAGGTTGGTTGGTAGTTATAGACAGGTGATCTATAGGTAGGTTTGGTGGTAGTTATAGACAGGTGATCTGTAGGTAGGTTTGTTGGTAGTTATAGACAGGTGATCTTTAGTTAGGTTTGGTGGTAGTTATAGACAGGTTATCTGTATGTAGGTTTGGTGGTAGTTATAGACAGGTGATCTGTAGGTAGGTTTGGTGGTAGTTATAGACAGGTGATCTGTAGGTAGGTTTGGTGATAGTCATAGACAGGTGATCTGTAGGTAGGTTTGGTAGTAGTTATAGACAGGTGATCTGTAGGTAGGTTTGGTGGTAGTTATAGACAGGTGACCTTTAGGTAGGTTTGGTGGTAGTTATAGACAGGTGACCTTTAGGTAGGACTGATGATAGTCAGAGACTGTAAGGTCGTCCTTTCAAAGGTTTGACATAACAGAAATTTGGAAGGGTTTCTCTTTTACTTATGAATCCAGTTTCTTCAAGATTCAATGAATTTAAATTTTGAAATCAAACCGACTTTTCATGTCTACACTTTTTCCTAGGTTGTTTACCTGATGAAATTTTCTACCTGGCAAAACTTGTTCATTGAAATGTTTTTCCATTTTCCAACAAAAGAAATGAATTATGTACCAGGGTATGGTTTAAACACTTATCTCATGCAATATACAGGTACNCCCCCCCCCCCCCCCCCCAACCCCTTACCCAATAAATAGACAATTTTACGCCACACCACCACTACTCATTATAAATGCTTAAATTAACTTCCTTTTAAAAATATGGACACAAATTACCCACATCCAATATAGAAACAAATTCACCCCATCCAAATATCTAAAGAGGAATTGACTGCTTCCAAGTATACAATCACAAATTGACCCTCTCCCCATACACAGATACAAATTGACATATCCCAATATATAAGGACACAAACTAGCCCCTTCCCAATATACAGACAAAATCTACCCCTCCAATTTATATAGACAAACTACCCCTTCTCAATATACAGACAAAATCTACCCCCTCCCATTTTATATAGACAAACTAGCCCCTTCTCAACATACAGACAAAATTGACCCCCCTCAAATTTATATAGACAAACTAGCCTCTTCCCAATATACAGACGAAATTGACCCCCCTCTGATTTATATATAGACAAACTAGCCCCTTCCAAATATACAGACAAAATTGACCCCCCTCTGATTTATATATAGACAAACTAGCCCCTTCCAAATATACAGACGAAATTGACCCCCCTCTGATTTATATATAGACAAACTAGCCCCTTCCAAATATACAGACAAAATTGAACCCCCTCCAGTTTATATATAGACAAACTAGCCCCTTCCAAATATACGGACAAAATTGACCCCCCTTCAATTTATATAGGCACATATTGACCCCCGTTAGTATAGACATGACCACAACTCACCCCTATCATCATCAATAAGTACACAAACTCACTCCCGTCTCTACACGTCTACAGACAAACTAGCCCCTTCACACCTATATCGACACACAGTATCATAACTCTATCCATAAATATGGCCAGCTGAAAACAGAAGTACAGGTAAACATGAAAAACAGGTGAGACAGGTATATGTAATTAGGCACGTACCTGTATGGATCCGATGATGCTGATGAAGGTGGGACAGCTGCTTGAAAGATCTCTCACAGAATTTGCAGTGATATTTTCGTACGTTAGTATGGACTAGATTATGCTGTGTCAACTGTTGGCGACTCTTGAAACCCTTATAACAGTGAGGACATAGGTGTCGGCGGTCAGGATGAACCAAAGATGACATGTCTTTCGGCGAAAGTTGACCTGTTGACCCCGGATGACCAGTCGACCCGTTCTGTTTTGGCATGGTTTCAATTTTAATTTTTTTGTTGGTCACTTTGGCGTTTGACCCGCCTCCTGGATCAGAGATTTGTGGTGGGGTATCCGTAAGTGGGTTGTCCATACCCGAGACCAGGTCTGTGGTACCGTGTCGTGGGATCGGTGACGGCAGCGGATGATGTGGGTAGTGATGATGGTGATGATGGTCCGGCGGAGTGGGTGTCCCGAGCGGACTGACCGGTAGGTGACCATTGGCGTCCATCCCCGGTGGCCCTCCGTTCTCCCTGTTGTTGGACAGTAACCAATACGTGAGACAAAGTTTGAAATTCTGATACCAGGGATCCATTCTTACTCAACATGTTAAAACAGCATCAAAAGTCAAAAACTTATTTCACAATCAATATATTGATTGAAACTTCAAACAAACATTTGATTTTTTCTTAAAAAAGTTTCATCTATTCATTAATGATGAAGCATAAACGGAAAAAGTAGGCAGAATTATCGAAGCTACACAGGTTGACAATGAACATGCCCCGTCTCGGTTCCGATTCAAATAAAGAGGGCTTTTGAAACTCCGATATGTAATAACAGCATAGCACATCCCAGGTTTGTATCATCTAAGGAAAAATAGGTAACAGTTTAAAACTCTTCTCTTCGTTGTGATGCACTTCTGCACTGCTCAGTTGCCAAGTCAAACTATGAAACTAGATCTACAAGCTCGCAAAAAAAACCAGACAGTTAAAAAAAATGTCTAGTTTGAAATGAAAAGAGCCAGTTGTATTGCTGTGAAAAAAAAATCCATTCAATTTCCTGTAGTATTTTTTTCTATGCCGACTCATGCTATAAACCCTGTGATATAATGCGAGTCGCTTGAATTTAATGATTGAATGGAAGGTTCTCTCAGTATGCGTTATGTAATAATGAATTAATACAGAACATCTCATACTTCCTACCACTCTCTCACAAATCACTAAACCTTACTACACAATCCATAATTTGTGCAGATATAAAAATTACTTTTTTTTTTTTGTCAGAGCAAAATGAAATACACAACAGAGGTGTACATCTAGTTCATATTAAAGGTAAGGGGCCCACAGGGGGGAAATGCAATTAATATCGCTATAGGTAAAACATTTTATGCAGCAAGAACTTTAAGGCCTGTGTATATTTTATTAACATTTTATTGATTTTCACAGATAAAAAGGCAGAAAAATCCCATGTGCGGGCCTCCTGTACGAATAATGAATCATATCTAAAAAAAATTGCACTTTGTTATTTTTCCATTTATCTCCAGCCTGCTGATAAAGAAAAGACTGCACATAAAAAAAAATCCTATTTGCAAACCTAAAACTATTAAGCCTTTATTAGTTTCATGTTGATGTGGGGTTTTTTATTCCTTCAAGACGTGTATTACTTTAAAGTTAGTGAAATGGGAAGGCAAAGAAAACACATCCTCTTACATGTATACATTTAAAAAAAAAAACCACTGAGATATTTGTGCTATGCAGCTTTTCACAGTGTAGAAAAACATCGAGCACGGACCCTGTATTGTGTAGCTATAGATCTACTGCCTCGGGCATTCGTCAATTTTTTATGCATTTTTTTTTTTTTACGTTTTATCATCTCGGCTGATGACATTTTGATATTACTGGCAACAAATAAATTAATCCAAGCCTGCATTGTGCATTTGGACTACTGCCAATTTTTTTTGCCAGCCATTTATGAAACAAGAGATTCATGAATAAAATGCACACTTGGAGGAATAAGCGAGAAAGAGAAAAAAAATGTGCATTCTGAAATTATTTTACTACTTTATTAAACCCCTGTTACCATGGTAGCGCAGAAAATAACTCAAACTGCAAAATTAAAAAGGACACTCTTTCGTTCAAAAAATCAATATCTTATGTAATCGGACTTAAATTACGCACATGAAAAATATTTAATGTATAACTTGAGCGTTTTTTTCCCTATAAAAGCTATGCTGTTGTAATCTAGGGCACTAAGGAATAACGCTGGGGCCCTCAGGGGGGAATCTGCAAACTAGAATCATCAAACTTCATAAAATAGATTTTTTTTTTTTCTACCTTCATACATCATGGAGTGACTGAAATGTATAAAGGAATAAAGGGCAAATATGCACCATGCATAAAATATTAATAAAAGTTATTTCCCGCTGAGCGCAGAGCCAGCTAGCTCCTGCCAAGTAATATAAAAGACCTTTTTCCCAGGTACAACTTATACATAAAGGATTTTATATTGATTGAAGAATTTTTTTATTTATTCCTTAACCAACATATGTAGTGTACTTACACTACAGGACAGAAGAAAGTCTGCATTTGAGTCAAATGGTTTTTAATTGATTTTCACTATAAAAATATTTTAATGTTTTCCTATTTCAATCAAAATTTTAATCACTTCAGCATCTAAATATAGAACAACACTGATTAAAAAAAAATCTGCAGTGTGTTTACAGAAAAAGAAATAAGCAGGCAATATTGGCAATTTTTCAAAATTTATAATTCCAACACTTGATTAAAATTTCTAAGTTTATAGATGAAATTCTTGTTCAGCAGGCAATCTGCTCAGCAAATCAATTAAATTAATAATAACTTTTTGATGAAATATCTTTATAACTAGAATTGATTGGAAAAAAACTAACCTGAAACATAAAAAATACTCAATAATTATTGTTTTTCTTCCCCAAAAACTGTTGAAAGAACCTTTTAAAGCTGTTTCATTTAACTGTTTCACCCCTATGTAACTTAAGTAGACTCTACCATGCATTGATCTGGAGGAGTCCATTTTGGTCTACAGTGTTTAAAGGGTTAATTAAACTATCTTATAATTGATTGGATTTTTGTTATTTATCAGTACAATAGAAAAAATATAATGTTTTGGCAAAAACGACATCTAGCAAAATTTCAGAATGAAGGAAGACTTGTTTTGATGAAAGCATGTTATTCTGTGAAAACCTGGACTGACCGGAGCTAAAGCTTATTAATGTCTATAATTATATACTAATGGTCAATAGAATTATACTGGTCAATACTGGTCAAAACAAGCTGTAAACATAGTTAGACCAGGCCCTAATGAGCCTGGATTAAAGACACAGGACCCAACGTTTTTGGGCCATAATTGTCAAATATTACAGTACAATCGTGATGTCAGTAGGCCCAGTGGGCTTGTATCCTTCATTTGTTGTTCAATGCTGTAAGGAAATGTAGCGGAATTGGACTAGGTCGATCGCCGTGGACTAGGTAGCTCAATAGGTTCGAGCGTCAGTCTCGAGTTGAGAAGGTCACGAGTTCGAGCCCAGGTCTGGCCCTACATTTTTTCTTTCTCCTATTACAATTTTGTCTCCCAACAAAATATACCCAGGGAAGGTGGTATAGGGTCTTGTGTGTCTTTGGGGTCGAAGACTTTGTTAAAGGAGGAAGGAATGTAGTGGGTCAAGGTCAAATTTATTGAAATACCTAAAAGCATTTGACCTTACCCTTAACCTCATCAACCTTTAAGGTCTCTTGGTTAATCAGGAGATATCATTAATACATTCCAAAACATTTCGTCCATGTGACCCTGAAGTGGTACAAGGTAATTTATCTGAACACGGTTGATCGCCCTATACTCATGCCTGGTTCAGGGACAGAATTAAGACCTGCTGTATCCCAGTACATGTCGTAAGAGGCAACTGATATGGGAGGCCCTGCATAATTTTGGGTCTTTTCAGCGTTTTTTTTACTTACAGGACATTGCAAACTAAAATCTGCTGCCACACATTGCAAAGTTTTGAATATTATCTTTCCTTTTATCTTTTACCTACATTTTCCTGTTGGGGAGGTCTCTCACTTGTCACACTTAAGCATATGCCTATTCCGTCTTTGCGTATTGCAGAGTTATCTTCTCTTGAGAGCAGGTATTGATTGTTACGTCATTGGTTTGTGTGAGAAAATTACGTCGTTTTCTCAAAAATTGATGACGTATCTCTCACAAACAAGTGACGTACCAATCAATACCTGTTCTCAAGAGAAGATAACTCTGCAATACGCAAAGATGGAATAGCTATTGGTAGGATTTTAAACCCTAATGGTATTATGGTGTTTTTTTTAAATGTACAATATCATTTGAATATGATGATAATGGTTCATCTTGATTTAAACAAAACAAGTATACATAACGGATGTAGGTTCTGTGATCCGCAAGACATTAAAAAAAAAAAATCTAGTCTACCCAGCTATGCAATAGGGTGCTGAGAAGTATTCCATTGACAGACTGGCGTCTTCCAGGGGGGAATATAGTATCAAAGTTGAAACTGAGCATATTTAACCGAGTAAGTTTTTGACTTGTATATCAATATTGCTAAACAGGGAGAAGACGTCACTTTGGAGTTTAAATCATTTTATACAACAGCTTCTGTCACGTATTGCGATTCAAATGTTTCTCCTTGTTTTCTAGCCTTGCCATTCCGAAATAACTAAATTTTTGTATTTAGTCACTTTTTATAAAAATGCACTAGTGCAATCACAATTATCGTGAAGAAAATCAATATATTTCATTTATTTTAACATATTATATAATACACAATCTGCATTCGTAGCTTCTTTATTACTTTTGTTGCGATGCCAACTTGCAATAATTTTTTGTCCTTTAGATATTTCTTATTCCTGAATATTCAAATCTGAATTTACATTTTACAAATAGATCCATTGATTTAAAATTAGGTTTAAACTGTAGAATTTAGATTCACCGTTCATCCTTTAAATACGTCGAACCTTTAACATGCAGCCTTGAATTACACAAACAACAACTGTCGAATCTCCGACAATTTTTTAAATAAAAATTTAAATTGTCATTTGATTGGATATCAACTCTCAACCAATCACGGCGGTTTAACCTTAGAAACCATTTTAGCCAATTTCGACTTTTGACTATCAAAACTTATTTTCCCTTTATGTTGTAATTAAGTACATCAGAAATTTTTAACCATCTCAGTTTTATAAATTTTTTAAATTCGAATAGGGAGGAGAAGCTTTGGTAAGGGCAGCTATGACAGTAGCATATGAGATATGGTGGAGACATGAGAAAGCTGTATTTACCCCGAAAAAGGGACCAACCTTGTACTATACATCCGCTATATGTCTCCTCACGATCTAGTTTTGAGTCACTACATAAAGTTGTTCAATATTGACAATATGGCCTGTATAAATATGTTAATGACAATTATCATAGTACACCGACTAACAACAGGCTTACTAAATAGTGACTTAAAGATATCCACTGGTCACAG